TTTGAAGAGACAACTACAAGCAAACAGTTGTCCCTTGCTCAACGTAAACATGCGATGCATTATCATCCTGTAAAGAACGCGCCTTTCCGGTATGACGGTATCAGAAGTAAAATAAACCAAAAAGTTGGTTCAGAGCAACGCATGCAGTTCTAAAAGCCTGTTAGACACACACACAATGCACATGCCGCGGCAGGACATGTTTTGAGAACTTGTCGTTCTCTTCCTACTGTGGCCGACTTGGTCGACCAATTGCAAATCTACAACGACATTTCAAGCGGGCCACAAAGAGACCTTCGAACGTGGTTGAGGACTTATATAAAAGTGCAAGAGAATCGTTACGAATCGTGTTGATGAAGAAGACTCATATATCTGTCATAGGTCCAGATTCATGAAGTGCTCGCTTGGCTTTCACCGTAACCCCTCTTGAATTGGAAAGTGCATGTGGTCAGCTTTCTTGGCAGCGCACAGCAAGTTTAAATTGTAGCATTCATTGAGCCACCTCCACGTTAGCAGGAAATGGCGCAGGATTTGCGCCGTCCTCTATGTACAGGAGGATTCACTCCAAGCATCTAAACCGGTCTCAGCAAGAGCTGGTCGCCAACATGCGAGGGGAAAATGAAAGCATTAAAAACAAAACATGTGAAACATATTGAACAATGCACTATAACGCTGGCGTTGCCAAGTCGCATTGCCTTTGGGGTGTCCCCGTTTTGGGCGAATTATAAGTTGAACATAGAACGGGCTTGATTTAGAATGTGCAGGTCTGACAGTCTGAGAAGAGCCCGCTGCAAAGCAAACAAGATTTATGACGATTAGTAATTAGTATGTTTCATGCATAAAGAGTTTCAAAAAAGTCAAGTTTCCCTAAAGATCTAGGAACCAAATCATTAGAGTAATGCGAGCTTCCTTGAGGAAGCGTGAGCTATCCTGCGTCCAAGCTACTAGCTACTTAAGCTACTAGCTACCTCTTCTACCAGCTACCTCTTCTACTAGCTACCTAGCTACTACTAGCTACCTCTACGGCCTACCCCCCCTTTTTATACAAAGAGACATCTCAGTAATCAACAAACATGCTCTAGGTGGACCCATCGGGCCGGGCCGAGAGACTAAGCGGGTACTGGTCGTCGTGTCCGGCGAATGAGCCCCAGCAGCATGGTATGAGCCTAAGTAACTCATATAGAGTCTATAGATCTGATAGCCTATCTCACTTCAGCCTGGCGCATTGCAAGAGATAGAGAGTAAAAGGAAGAGAGACGCTGTGTGGATATGTATATGTGGATGTGTGATGATGTGTGCATGTTGATGCGGGTGCATTGTTTCTAGTTATTGATGACATCTCATTTCGTTTAGCAACCAGCTCTTGCATCAAGGCTGCCTTGCATGTCAAAGCTTCACCAATGGCACACCATCAGGAGATTGACTCTTCAGGTACAACACGTACTGCGTGGCACTGGGTGGCATCGAGGCGGAAAGGCCTTCCGACTACCCCTTCATGGCAGTGAAGGTCAGTAACACCAAAGCTGTGTGGCGGGAGAGGGTTGAAGGGGACGGCCTGTGAAACACAAATGTCAAAAAATAACAAAAAGTAATTCTCTCTCTCCATATATATATATATATATACACACTTGCAAAACTCCTGCAGAGTCTCCTCATCGCAGCTTCGCCTTTTAATATCATCCATTCTAAATATTGCCAGTGATGCTGGGAATGCAGACCCAACACGGCATAAAATCATCTTACAAAAGCCATCATCATGCGAAGAGGAGCCATTGACGGGAACTTGTCAAGCTGAGGCAGCTGCCAACAGTGCATGAACATCACCGCAAGAACTGTACATTCTCAGGAACGAAAGCAATAGATGGTCCAGACGAAAACAAAGTAACGTTGGAGTACCAGCAAAAAAACATGCAAATTGTGTATCAACTTTGACATCATTGAGGCCCTCCAGTGTCGCAACGATCTGACAAGTTCATCCTTCCCTTCATTTCAGCTTCGCCTTTTAAGATCATCCCGGCGGTGCCTTGTCATACAGAAAGTATCATCATGCGAAGGGAGATGCATTGGTAGAAGGTTTCAAACAACTTTGCAGAAGGTGGGCCTGCCACCCATGACCTACTGCATGATACATCAAATCGAGCGTGACCAGAAGCAGTAAGAAAAACGAGACCAGCAAGTATGATTTTTAGTGTGACTTCTACATGCGTGATCGACGATGCGAGTGAAATGGCATCTAGGGAATCGCTGCAGTCGACATTCACATGTATATATACATATATAATCATATATACACATGAGTGGCGGACAAAACTTCTTTGTGTCCCCAATGCCTTAAAAGTACTTTGGGTTGGCCCCTATCAGTTTCCAGTGTTGTGGAATGCAGGCAATGCGCTACTTTCAATCAAGAGAGGGTATTGGTATAGGGCTGGCCCCTATCGGCTTTGCAAAGGTGTGATCAACTCAGAAGTACTTAAAGGGGGCTCCTGACTCGGACTGACCGCTTTCATCCCCATTTTTTGAAAGCCACTTTTAGGGGAGTAGTGGCGGGGTAGTGATGTTCACAGCCATTGTGAAGTGCGGCGTGTATGACAATGTTTGGCATTGGCTGGCCACCCTATACACACCTGAGAAACGGGTGGCGAAAGCCAGCTGCCGCTTCATTGCGTGGGTCCCTGTACGTGGGTCCCTGTCTCCACCCGAGTCCTCTATGCCCATTGTCCAATTAGTCTCCAAAACCCTTCATGATGCTAATGATGCACTACTCGGCAAAAAAACGTTCCGCTCAGCGACCACCCCACCCCCACACCCCCTTAACTCAGGTCGTTCGCTCTAAAAGCTCAAGCCTTCAGAGCTTCCCTTCGTATCACATTGCGAGTGGGCCTCGAGGCCCACAAGGCACGCTTTCAAAGCGTCGTACCAGAAATGTTGCCATGCATGTTGCATGGATCTGCAGGCACACCGCCAGAATACCTTTTTTCAACAGAACGCACGCAACACAGCCAATCAACCACACAGTAGGTCATGCAACACGCCAAGCAGTACATTGCAACCCATGCGCTAGATCTCAGCTTCGCCTTTTAATATCATCCATTCTAAATATTGCCAGTGATGCTGGGAATGCAAACCCAACACGGCATAAAATCATCTTACAAAAGCAATCATCATGCAAGGAGAGGTGATCAAACAACAACTGCCAGGTCATTTCATGCAATACGTCGTCAAACTGGACAGTACGAGCAGAAGTCAAGGCTCATATTGTTGATTCTTGATTAGTGACCCCCCCAGATTGATGTCTGCACCGTTTTTTTTTTTTTTTTCTATTGATAACCCCCGTCTGATTAATGTCTGCACCGATTTTTTTGTTTTTGCTTGTTTTCCTTGTTTTCTATGTGTCTAATCGTTTTTGTCTGCACAGTTGAGATGTAATTCTATCTGATTAACGTTTCCTGCAATAATGTCTATGGTGTTCATTGTTAACTAAACGCTGTTTGTATTCCTAAGTATTCCAATAATGTAATCACCTTCAATAATGAAATCCCCTACAATAATGTAATCCCTTAATTCAAAATAATCATGTTTAGAAGAGCAATGCAAATAAATAATCATTCTTCAAAGGAAATAGAAGGATATATTCGTTTTTTTTTAAAGGAACTGCACACCTTATGTCTGAAGTCTTGGGATGGTTCATGGGGTCTGCAGTTTTGTTTTTTGGTTTTTTCCAGAACCTCGAGAAACCAAAAAAACAAAACACAAAAAATAAAAAACAATATTCAGAGAGTCTTGGCTGGAACCCCCCCCCCCTCTGGAGAGTCTGGAAATATTGTGTGTTTTTTGTGTGTGTTTTTCGATGTTTTTGGCTCCCCTCTTTAAAATGATTCATTCCTTCCATATGTCATGTTCCCTTTTATGAACCCCTTTCAACCTGCAATTTGTATAATGTCCTTCAATGTTCCTTTTAAATATGAGTATATAATTGTGTTCATTGTCCCTTTAAAATTGATTAATACCTATATTTTGTTCTTAAGAAATGATTATTCATCCTTTGCAAATGATTTTCATGTTTCCCTTTAAAATCTAAGCCTATTGCTCATGAAAAGAACGTGAAAAACTGCACTCCCAGGAGCTGCCGTTCTGCTTGATTTCTATTGGTTTCCTTTTGGATTCCTTTTGAAACCTATTGATTACCTTTGAACGTGTGTAATTAATTTATTTAACTACCATTATTAAATCTATTAAAATATTGCAACAATCTATTCCACAAAGAGGGTAGCCCAGTACACTGGAAATCTTGATTAATATCACCCCCTCCCATAATGGCTCCGCTTTTCTGTCTAAATTTATATTATATTTTGTTGATTCCGTTTTGATTTACAAAGTTCTATTGATTTCCTATTGAACTCCTTTTGATCTCTATTAATTACCCTTGACAGTGTGACATTATTTGTGTTAATCCGTTTATCAAATCGTAAACATATTGCAAAAATACATTCCACAAAGAGGGTAGCCCAGTACGATAGAAATCTTGATTAAGATAATGTCTACGCTTTTTCTTTTCAGTTGTTGAATATTCATTATGTTGATTCCTGTTTGACTTACTTTAAAACCCTTGTGATTTCTATTGATGTCATTTTGCATGTGTCATTAATTTCTTTAACCTACCGTATCAAATGTTTGGATATATATATATATTATATTGCAACAATCTATTCCACAAAGAGGGTAGCCCAGTACAAGTACACTAAAAGTTGTGATTAATATCAGCCCCTACAATCATTGCTACGCGTTTTCTGTTTATTTAGTCTATTTTGTCTATGTTATTCCTTTTTGATTTACGTAAAACCCGTTTGATTCCTTTTGATTTCCTTTTGATTCCTGTTGATTTCCTTTTGATTCCTGTTGATTTCCTTTTGATTCCTTTTGACTTCCTTTTATTCCCTTTGTTGATTTCCCCTTGATTTTTCCAGAATCAACATGGATTCGACTAGGGCGGGGATTCACACCAATCAAGAGTCAACATCAGTCAGTTTGCCTTGGATAGAAAGCACCAAGCACTGCAAGATAAATCCAAACAGGCAGAAATTGTTTGGCATGAAGTTGGGGATTCTCAGGCCCTGTTCAATGTCCTCTTCGTCCTCCTCACGCTTGGCTTTCAGCCACTCTGCATCCTTGGGCTGCAATACACAGTGTGTAGTGGAACTGCAACGCACAATGTATGGGAACTTCACGAAAACAAAGCAAGAACTAATTTGTATTCATTTGAACAGCTCACCATCCCAACATATCCCCAACATGCGTTGGCTTCTGAACCTTTGGTGAATTGAGGCTTTGGACCTTGGGACCCTTCACCTTGGCCTTGTATCTGGGCATCGGTGCATAGGGATTGAGATCCCCTGGATCGAGGCCTCCAAGGCTGCTATGTTGGTTAGAACGGTTGGAATCTTTCTGGAATCTATAGGACAGGATTGATGCTGTGATGTCTTTCACAGACACTCATACGAATGTCAGTGCAAAATGAATCAGGCAGGCCGAATGAACTCAGACAGTTGACATCAGAAAGAGGCTCTTGAGGCTGACATCCGGTCATCTTTTTCTTCTTCCGCATTTAGTCTGGCCCATTCACCAAGACATAGCAAGACCCATCAAAGTCCAATTTGCCTTCCTCCACCAATTGAGCCAAAAAGTCTCGCAGTTGCTTTTCACTCAAGGTGTAGGCAGGCTCCATCATGAAGCGCTGCAAGAAGTTGTGAATCCGTGCAAGCGGAAGCGCTGAGTAGTTCTTCAGCATACCCTGGACAAATGGCTCGCAGGCCCGAAGCTCCTGTCGGCGACCTGGAGGTGGGCCAGGTGAATTCTCCTCGTCATCCATGTGGCCTGCAGCACCAGAAGTCACACTTGTTCGAGACTTGATGTTTGAGGTTGCTGGATGCTAATCTTCTTAGATGGTCTTAGATGTGAACTTAGTCCGCAAACTCGTCAACTGTCGTCGAAACCGCATTAAGACCATGTTGACACATGTTGACGTATGTTGACCAATGTTTGCCGTGCTTTCGGCCTGATTGGATGTCTTCTGGAGCAGACTCTTGGAGCTCATAGAGGTTTGCACTGACCTCTTTCAGTACACCCTTCGCCACCCAAAAAGCCACGCGCTTTCGCACAAGCACCTCGGGCAGCTCCAGCTGCGACATTAACTCCTCGAGGCTAAGCCTCGTTGGACTACCTTTGGCCTCAGAGAAGCATGCCAACACGGCATAGTGGATTGGTGTAACCTTAGCAGGCAGCGTTCTCCGAATGGATCATGTTTGTCAAAGCTGCAAAAACGTGATAACACGTATAAAGGCTCATCATCTCTTGTGACCAAGCAACTGTTACATTCAGACTCCGGTCAGCAAACTGCACTGTGATCTCCACCAAGCCATGCGAACGCTTCCATTGGACCGCTCTGTTGGATTTAGTTTTGCCATATGCCAGGCTGTAGTCCGCCAAGGCATTCTCCAAAGGAGCTGGCAATCGAAACCGTGGAAGATCAACTTTGCTGAGTGCAGAGGGCCAGTAGTGCTGAGAGAGCACAAGGGGATGCATTTGACCTAAGCTCAGTGGTCCAGTTTGGTCCGCATCCTTTTCCTTCTGTTGAATGTTACTGTTGATGCGCTTTGAGTCCTTGATGTCCTGCAGCATGACCTCGCAATGCGTGAGGGCAGCATCCCCAAACCTGGTTTTCAGGAGCTCAAGGTTTTGAGTTTCTCGCTCTGTACTGTAGGTAGGATTGCCCAGTAGGCGGTCTGCCAGCATCTCCTTGTACTCCTTGATGAACATCTCCTTTCGAGTGTTCCAACTCAAACACTCTTTCTTGACTAGCTTTACGATCCAGTCTAGTCTATTTATAAAGTGAAATATCGAGTCTCAGTCCACCTTGCTTCAAACAGGTGCAATCCACTGTCCTTCGAGCCGTAGATACCTACCAGTAATGACACAACATCGGCCTTCCGCCTCAGTGGCTGCGAATCCGCATCAATAGGGTCAGGAAGCCACGCATCTGGATCCTCTTCATCATCACCTTAGATTCAACATCGAAACGCAGGACTCCCCACGAAAAGGAGATTTGACTGGTATCAGGAATCCTTGTTATTGTCAGGTCACTGGCTTCAAAGTCTTCGCCAGCCAAGTCCGGCGGCTCATGTGGCGCCTGTCCCGCCTGGAGTTTTGCCTTCGAAGCTTCCTCAGCTCCCAATTGAAGCTCTTCTTGTAAGTCCGAATCTTCTGTGAGAGCAGTGATGATGCATCGGACAGTGTCTTTCCTTTTCTTTAAATACTCCCTGATTGGAGTTGAAACTCCCTCCAGCAGCAAACCCCTGGGATCTACCAAACGTAGAGCCTTGATGGTTTTGATGTACACTTTGATCACATCACGCGTGTGAGCACCAGCGATCAGCAGCCGCTTGCCAATCTGCTCTCGTAGCGCAATGACCAGTGGTGAGAATCGTCCCGTGCGAGCCAAACAACGCCTCAAGTCCAACAGCGCAGGTGCGGAGTCTGGAAAGTCACGGACCATGTCGAAAGCTTCACCCAGTCGAACTTCCAAAAATGCTTCAAAAAAAACGAAGCAACGCGCCCCGCGCCAGAAGCAACCAGGACTCCTCCTGAGCGTTAGCCTGGCTTGGTGCCCAAAGAGGTAATCCAAAGATACCGCGGAGCCAGCGGAGCATGGCGCTGTAGAAAAGTCGTATGAGACGATCCAAGAGGTTTTCTTGGTATTCTGAGCGACACCGCTCTTCAAGCAGCTGGGCTACTTTTGCTGTGAAGAAGCTTTTTGCAAGGTCCACCCAAGGTGCTTGGAGACCCAAAGAGTGCATGGCCTTAGACACCATGCTCAAGCCAGTCAGGTCATTCTCCATGTCTTCATCCACGTCCTCAGCTTCCGCTTCTTCTTCTTCTTCAGCAAGGCCCATGACCACATCTTCATCGATAGAAGTGGCTGGAATCTTGTCTGCTTGCCTTTCCACGCCGAGATTGCCGGGATGATCTTCTCTTGATTCCAGCAGGGCTAGAACACGAGGCACCGGCCCAATGAGCCCAGCACACCACCACTCTGTCTGGGATTGATCGGGTGCACCACGGAAGGATTGATCCCAGGTCTTCTGGAAATAGTCTTTCAAGTTCTCGGCCACTTGCAACGGCCAGGTCGAAGTGAAGGCCACACGAAATGCCACACGGTGAGCGGAAATCAAGCGAGCCTCAGAAGATGGGCTGATGGTTCGCAACAAAGCTTCATGCGCTGAAAGAAGTTTCTGGAGCCTGTTTAATGCTGCCTGCCATTGTCGGCCGCTGCAGCCAGTAACATGCTGCCAGAAGGTCTCACAAGTTATGCTTAATGAAGACTCGAGAAGGTCCTCAGCCAGATCCAAGAGCTCGTCATTTTGGATCTCCGGGACATCAGCTGAAGTCTGGAAACTGGGCTCGAACTCGCCTTGAAAGGAACTCGAGGAATTCAGTTCCGACTGAAAGGATTCTCTGATATTATCCACTGCGCTCTGCAGCTGATTGATTTTCTCCCAATCCGGGTCCATGGGTCCATGGGTACGTGGCCCCTTCGGAATGCCCGCAGCCAGAAGGACTTGGTTGTGTTTCAATCTTTGGAGCGCTACTGGCGCTACTCGTTTGACTGAGTGTGATATGACAGCCTGGCCCATGAATGTTCTGTCTTTACCAACTACCTCTGGCTTGAATGCGCCCACTTCACCCAATCTGGTGCTGGCAGCATGCGGAAGTGTGAGTGGATCAAGCTCCTCTGCAAATCCGGAACCCGAGAAATCATAATACTATTGAAAAAGTATAGATATAAATATATATGTAATGTGAGTAGAGACAGAGAGAGAAGAGTGCAGTATAGTGATTATGTAGGTTTAGAATGGTATAGATATGTAATGGAATAGTCCGTGAACAATGTCTTTGATATTTCTAGGTTTTTCTGATGCCATAGGCACTTTTTATGAAGCAGTGGACCTGCGATGGGCTTTATCACCAAGCACCCTCCTGAGCGCAAGCTTGGAATCCGTTCTTGGCAAAAGCACGGGGTAGAGGATCTGGTAGAGGATCTACAATGTACAAATCAAACAACTCGATTGGTTTCGGAGCAGCCCATGTCTAAGATCGAATCTCAATCCAAAGGCGACATCCAGAAGGAAGAAGGCTAGCTCTTCCATGAGGTCATTTGATATCCTTTTCCGGATTCATAAGAAGATATCAGTTAGCACAGTACGATGTCACTTGATTCAAAGTGGCCGTCCTCCACAGAAGTTGTTGGAAGACTCGATGATTGGCCCTAGATCTGAGGCCTCCTCGATTGGTGGGATGTGCTGGTATGACGATTGGGTGAAGGGGACTCCCAACTGGCAAGTGGTCTCCGTCGTCCTTTTTGTGCACATGTTCAGAATTGTCACAGCTGTCATTTGTTTAATAACACAGAAAGAGGACGGGGGGTGCAGTGATGGTCAATAGTAAGCTTGAAACATCCAAAGTGAGCAACATTTCAATGCTCCATAGTCGGAGAATTTGCTCGCTACAGTATCGCGTGCTGGTCAACTGAATGCAGATTCAGCTCAGATGTTCAATACAAACAACAAAAACTGCGAATGTTCTCTCGCTAGTAGGCCAATTGAAACTGTTTGCAAATCGCTATCAACAAGGCAGCCTGAACTGCATTCATCCGCAGAATTGCCAATGGCCAATGTTGACTCTTTCTTTTCCCTGACCAAGCCCGTCGCCCGTCCTCAATTTGTGGTGACCCCTCACCCTCCTTTCCATCAGCATAGCACTTTGACACATCCTGAAGTCGATTGAGGAAGGACCCAGTGAAATGGTCAAAGAGGCTCCTAGAGTCCTAGAGGCTCCGTTGTTTCATTCTTTCTGTTGCTTAAAGAAATATACCGGCTTGGGCCCCAAATAGTTTCGGCACATATTTTGCCTCAGTTCCCATTCAGTTCCTGTAGTCTCCAGCTGTTTGAGAACAGCATGTACACAAAACAACGATTTTGGGGGGGAACGAGATGATCTGAAATTCAAAAACTCGGCGTCACTGTTGCATTCATAGCAAAAAAACTAACTCGGTCAAGGCCGTGGAGAAAGGGAAAACAGCGTGGCCAAGCGGGGGACAAGACCCGGACAAGGCGGTCATAAGAAGGCCAACAACGTGGACAAGCAGGACACAAAGATCCCGACAAGGCCCGGACAAAGCAAAGCAGACAGGCACCTGGACAAAGCCTGGACAAGACGACAAAGAGCAGAAAACACTGCGGCCAAGCAGGACAGCTGTCGTGGCCAGCCATTGTTTCAATTAAAGAACCCCAACAGTAAATGGTTTCCTCAAGCAGCCCAAAGAAAGGAATGGCATGGTGCCTGACAGAAGTGAGAAATCATCCAGCGAAGGAACTACATCGAACGAGGCAACTGGCATGCATGCAAAGCCGTAAAAAAGTATTCAGAAGTTAGCCAATGTGCGTCTCAAGCGAAAATAGCAGGCAACGGAGACCTCCATTCAAGTTATATATATATATACACCAATCATTTCCGGGACGCTGGGATCCGTTTAGGAAGGCAACTTGTTGCAAATGTGTTTGTCACTCAACATCTTGGATGGGGCGCATGCCAGCTCATCATGTCAGCCCAGCACGATCCAAAACAGAGTCTAGAATCTAGAAAGTATTCCAAACCACATTCGATTCAACAAACTGGAAACAAGTAAAAGTTTAAACTTTCAGTGAAACTGTTCGGAGAATAAGACGTCGCGGGTCACAATCTTCAACCACAGCACAGTGTACATGTCCTCGATGTCAAAGGCAATTTGTTCCAGCAAGCTTCTGGGGCTTGCCTGTACACATCGTGAGCTTTTCAGTCAAAATGCTCCGCGCGGTTCTCCATCTTCAATGGCTCAGTGCAAAACTACACCTTGCCCTGTGGCCTTGTTGCTGTTCTCCCAAAGCAAATCATCAACAAAGACTCCGACTGAATGGGGAATGTCAAGGGCTTCTACACTGTGTCCTGAAAGGGTACGTAGAATGTATACTGCACAGTATGTGAAAAACATCGAACCGTTCGTAAGGCAACGCAAGAGTACCCTCCGGTCTCGTTCGCATTTTTTGTAGGTGGCGCGGCGAAGGGACGCCATTCCCACTGATCGCAATTTTGGGTCATAGTATGTCGACATTGCAAATTTGTGTTCAGTAACTAAAAGGCTTGTCAGCTCTTTTTAATTGCGTAGTTCATCACATTCAATTTGTTCGATGGGTTGGCCTTTTTGTGCCCCCTCTACGAGCAAGAGGGGTCGTGGCCAGTAGCTTGAACGACTGGAAGCCACGTCCGGTGGGACATTTGCCCTCGCGAGACTTCAACTGGGTGGGAGATCTTATGGTACGCAACACCATGCCCGAATCACGAGATCCAAGTGAGAGTCAATTTTTTTGAAGGATCAATGGGAAACAATTGGCAGCATGATGGGTCTGCTGCATGTTCCTCCCCCGAGTATGCCACTGGCCGCCTCCACAAGAGCAGGAACTGCCGGGTTTCTCTAAGAATCAGGACTTGCTTTCCAAGACTGAACTCACTAAACTAAACGTTCTGTCAACCAACTTTCCACTCCTGAAACTGCTCATCGTCTAGGTCTAAGTCCATAATTTTGGAGTGGTGTAAAATGCTGTGACTATGACATCTGAGATTGAAGACTCCGAAATGTGCAAAAAGACATATACTCTTAAAAGAAAGGGACAAGGTCCCTTTCATAGAGCCCTGCCAATCTTTTCTGTTTTCTCTTTTTCCTTTTTCAAGTTGTGCTGTATATTATAAGTATGCAATCCAAAGGTGCTCTCCCACCTGCATTCAAAGAACATCAAAGAACCACTGGTCTCAAGCTGATGTCCGCAACTCTGGTCATCTAAGGACTCTGGGCTTCCAGTGTGAATTGAGACAGTGCTCAATTCGTTCAAGGTAGCCATGGTATATTGGCTTGCTTGTTCCGCACCAATGGTTCTGCATGCCTCAACAGCTCACCGGCCGTTTCTCATCAGGGGGTCCACCTTCTTCAAAATCAAAGTTGACCTATCCCTGGATGACAAGGGTAAATTGCAAGCATAAGTGGTTCTCCTTCAACAAGTGAATTCATTATACAGTATAAGTCTGTGTCCGGGGTCGAGCCTGCTTCTTTGTCTTGCAATGTCAAACAGTGCTGCGGTTCAAACCTCCAACATTTCATAGCCTGCTGCTGGCTAACACAAATTCTCTCCAGTATGGAAAGCCCACAGTGACCCTTTGCCGTAAGTATAACCGTTGGTGACATGCAATCACAGTACCCACGCCCGCACAGACGCGAATGTCGACAAGGAAGGGCGAAATGAATGAAATGTGTCGGTATTGTCAGTCTGCTAAAGATATTGTAAGCAAAATGATGTTTGTACGTTATTGGGGGGCTCCTCAGTTGTTCCTTAAAGCCGACATCAAGGTGGTATTTACCTGGTAGCTTATGTAGAGATCCATGATTCTTGGCGCTCCAAAGCGATGTCCGCTCACTGACATTCTTATCGTCCCTTCGCAGCCGTGCACGCTAGGGGGGGTCGGCTTGGCCGAGTCGTGCAGAGGTGAAGGATCCCATGCACACTTGACAAGATCGTGCAACGTGTGGAAAGTACGAATGACTTGTTACTACTAGTAAGGCACCTGTTACTACTAGTAAGGCACTTGTTTCTACTAGCTTCTTGTTAC